AAAAAAAACAAAACAAAACAGGGTTTTCCAGGCACAGCAGAATAGTTGCACATAGGAACTCACAGCAGTTGAGGCAGCACAAGATCTGCTCAAGCTCAGTCCTCCTTTGATTTGAAGTTCCTCATGGCTCTTGCCCCTTGCCCTTAGTTAAATATGAGTGATGATGACTTTCCTTCATTCTCAGACATTTCCTTCATGTCATGGTACAGCTCACTAGGGGCATTTGCAGCGCAGAGCTCTGAGGTGTTACTTCTGGTTGTAAGCACAGTTTCACAGTAGCCCTTTAGTGTTCAGAGAATGGAAGATTGTGACCGTCTCCCTATCAGATCTCCTGTCCATCTGCTCAGGTGGACTTTGACCTTCTAGCTGCAGATATTTCGCTTGTTTCATGTCATCCATGTGCATTTTCAAGAATTTTTCAAAATGCTTCTTTTTAAGGTTTAGAGCCCTTCAGGATTGGACCATACACCAACTTTGTTAACATTGGAGAGCGCTGTAACGTGGCAGGATCCAAGAAGTTTGCTAAACTCATCATGGCAGGAAACTATGAAGTGAGCAACCTTATGAGACCCCCGGGTCATTGCCATGCCTCTGGGAGGACTGCATGTCAGCAAAGTGTTCTGTTCTGGCTATTGCAGGGCTCCTAGGAAGTATGTGAGGATGTGAGGATGCAGGTGGCAGCCAGCATTGGTGGGCTGCTGGAAGAGTTGAAGCTGTTGTTGACAATGCTCAAAAAAACATTACGTTTGGGGCATGGAGTGATATAGCTTCTAGTCCTTCATTGGTAAATAAGTTTGGATATTTGGGAATACGCTCCATTTTGGCCTGTCTGAAACCTTTCTACGGGAAGTGAAAGCCAAGGGAATCCTGTTTTTTAAAAATTATGTATTATGTATATGGGCATTTTGCTTACATGTATGTATGTGCACGATGTGTGTTCCTGGTGCCCACATAGACCAGAAGAGGGCATTGGGTCCCCAGAAGATGGATCTGCATGCTGGTTGTGAAGTGCCGTGTTAGTTCTTAGAACTGAACCTGAGTCTTCTACAAGAACACATACTTTTAGGTGCTAAGTTATTTCTGCCCCTCCCAAAGAGAATTCTTACTCATCTGACCACATCAGATGCTAACTGATGAAGGTACTGCTGATCTTGTTATCTGTAGGTCAAAACAAAATGAACAAGCCCTTGCCTTGAGAAGTCTGCATCTTCAGCTTTGTAATACTAAAGATAGAGCCAAGCTTAATCAACACAGAGTATGTTCAAGAAATAGGAATAGAATTAATTTTTCTATAAATATGAATTTAAAAATGGAAGAAGATAGCTTGAGGTTTTAAGTTGACTTTTTTTTTTTTACTGTGACTTAATTTTTTTTTCTTTTTCTTTTCTTTTTTTTTTTAAACTGAGGCATGGTGGTACACATCTTTAATCCCAGCACTTGGGGAAGGCATAAGCAGGTAGATTTTTTTTTTTTTCTGAGATTAGGCTTTCCTGGTCTACATAGTTAGACCTTGCCTCAAAGAAATTTTTTTTACTAAGATTGTGTGTGTGTGCATGTGCATGTATTTGTACCTGGATGTTCATATGCAAGCCACTGTGTACATGTGCAGGTCAAAGGGCAACTTGCAAGAGCTGATTCTTTTCCACATTTACTTCTTGGTGATCAAACTCAGATTGTCAGGTTTGGTATCAAGCATCTTTACCAGATGAGCTATTTCATTCTCCTTTGAGTTTTAATGATTGTTAAAAAAAAAAAAAATTCAGGATCTGAATAGATTCAGGGTTTTTTTTTATTATACTCATTTTATTTGTGTGTGTATTGTGAGTTTATGTACACGTGTGTGCGCATGCAGAGTCTAGAAAAGGTCATTGAATCCCTTAGAAATGGAGTTAGAGGCATTCTGTGGGATGCCTGGCTTTACGTGTGTGTTGAGATCTGAACTCAGGTTGTGATTGTGCATTAAGTACCTTCTCCTTTGGGCCATCTCTCTAGCCTGTGGATTTACCTCCTACTACTACCCCTCTTCTTGCCTCTGCCCCAAACAGGCTCTTACTATGTAGCCGTGGCCATCCTGGAACTCACTTTGTGGACCATGCCAGCCGTGAACCCATAGTGATCCACCTGCCTCTACTGCCCAAGTATTGGGATTATCTTCCTTTTTGGAATTGCAAATTATTGTTTCATGGCATCCCTTAGAGTTGTCTTTCCTAGTGCAGGTGTTAGGTGCCTGCAGTCCTCTACCCCTTCATCTTGTTGCTGTTCTTGTTGCCATGTACTTCCATCATGATTGTCCTCCATGGAGTCTCAAAGTTCTTTTTGTGAGTGGGGTACAGTTAAACTTCTTGAGACCATCAGTCTGTCCTTTCTACCTGTGCTTGGAGCAGTACCATCCTGATTTGCTCCGTGAACATTCTGAAAGGTTGCTCTACCATCATGCCTTGCCTCTCGCACCTTTCGAAGTTTTTGTGACCCTTAACGGTCAGATGGTGTTTTCAGTTGTCAGAGGAACTACTTGTATTTTGATTCTTCTGTCTGTTCTCTGGATATCTGTTTGCGCTTTGAGATTTGATGGCCTTGTTAGTGAGGGCAGATACTGCTTTAGGAAGAAGTACACAGGTAGACATAATATTAAGGTTTTCTTATGTGCCTTGTCACTGTGCTAAGCACATTATATCTTCACTAAATTTGCACAGTCCCATGAAGCCCAGCTGCTTGTTGTCACCTGCAAATGTGGTAATGCAGAGTTGGGGAGGCTAACACTCGTAGGCTGTTTTTACATAGAATTGATAGAAGGAAGTCTCTGAAGCCCATGTACTTAACTGCCTATGGGAACCTTTAGGGAGATGCAGCGGAAATGGAGGTGGAGGGCACAGAATGGGTGGATGAGCCCTTTGCTGACTTAGGTGATCTTCAAGGCCCTGTACTTTGAAGGAGAGAGCTTCCCTTAAAGGAACAATGCCTTAACTCTGAGCTAGTTTGGGAACATTCTGCCTTTAAGCACCTGTGCTATGACTGATGAAATAGATCAGATATTGGCATCTCTTTCTCAGGTCTTTGGAACCTCTGCTGATTACCTTCTATCTCTTCTGCTTCCTCCAATCTATTCCTGCTTTGGTGGGATAAAGACTTTCCCTCTCAGGATACACACCTTTGTTAAAAGTTGGTCAGCTTTCATCTTCTCTGATTTAGATAGTCTTGGTATTTGACCCCCACATTGGTACTAGTGCTTGTTTGTGTTGTTTTTAATATGACAGTTTTGTGTGCCTCCAACTAGATATAAGCCCTTCAAGAACAAGGGTTTCGATACACTTTTTAATTTTTTAACTCACCCCAGATACAAAAAACAAAAAACAATATCCCTTTCCCCAAGTGTGGAGGGTGGGACCCAAGAGCTCATGCTTGCTAAGCCAATGCTACAGCTTCTGAGCTGCAGCCCTAGCTCTGCCTCCCCACCCCATTACTGTTACACACACGCACACAGGCATGCAAGCACGTGCACGCACACACACACGCACATAAGAACCTCAGGCTTTGAGTGTATTAGGTACGCACTGCCACTAAGCTGCAGCCCTAAGCACTTGAAATCCCTTTTTTGTGTAGCCCTGGCTTGTCTCAGGCATACAGAGACCCACCTACCTCTGCCTCCCCAGTTCTGGAATTAAAGATGTGCACTGCCATGCCCAGCCTGGAAGCCAATCTTAATTTCAATTTTTTAATTTTTTGGTTTTTCTGGGACAGGGTTTCTCTAACAGCTGTGGCTGTCCTGGGACTTGCTCTGTAGACCAGGCTGGCCTTGAACTCACTAAGATCTGCCTACCTCCTGAGTGCTGAGAGTAAAGGCATACACTACCCCTGTCTAAAGCCAGTTTTTTAAATTATTTGTGATCCTTTGGGTTGGGAGTATTAGTTCAGTTTTAGTGTAGTTATCCTTTTTCTTTGTGTATCTTTGTTCCTCTGTCATATTCCCAATGACGTCTCCATATTTTATCACAGTGAATGACAAAATCATTCTATTTTTCTTTTGTCGGGGGGGAACCAGCAAAGAAAAATCAGGCTAAAGTAGTATCTATTATTTATTGATTTTTATGTTTGCTTATTTATTGAGCTACAAATCTATAATGAAGATTCAAACAAGCATCTGTGTTATGTGAGTTAGAAAATATCATTGAGGGTCTGGAGAGATGGCTCAGAAGCTAAGAGTATGTATATACTGCTTTTGCTGAGGACCACCAGTTTGGTTCCCAGCACCCACAGAAGGCCCCTCATTTCTCCCTGTACTTCTATTCCAAAGGATCTTATGCTCACTACTGGCTTCCATGGGCACCTGTGTGCACACAGCATATACTTATGCAGACACACATTCATATGCAAAGTAAAATCCTTACTTGTGTGGGTAAACACTGAGGGATTAAATGAGTGTGGATAGTTGCTCTACAGAACTTTTTTGAAGGAGATAGACTTGAGTTGGGCTTGAACCAGTATGGAAGGGGAGGGGATTATGTTGCTAGCAATGATATGTGATCTGTGACACAGAAGTGATACTTGGCTGGGTAGAGTGTCCAGTGAGGACCAACCAAGAAAAGCATTTGGGTGAGAAGGTGTTGTCAGCTTAGAGGCTCAGGAGTTTAGATCCTTTATGGTAGGAAGCTGCCTTTGGCCAAGCAGCGAGATGATGTGTGGAAAAGGTTAGTAATCCATGGTTAGTGTTGGGGAGCAGGGGACAGGCCCAGAGTCAGGGAGCCAACATGTCTGTTTCAGTAACAGAGCTCCTGTGACTTCCTAGTCATCTGCTAACCATGCTTCTCCCATTCCTCCTCCAGGAAGCCCTGAGCGTTGCCAAAGTGCAGGTGGAAATGGGAGCTCAGGTGCTGGATATCAACATGGATGATGGCATGCTGGATGGTCCCAGTGCAATGACCAGATTTTGCAACTTCATTGCTTCTGAGCCTGACATTGCCAAGGTTGTATAAGGTTTACAATCCAGAATGTTTACTGGGTTTGTTGCCATTCATTTAGCATTGTCTGTATATCCTCTCAGGAACTGGTTCATTTTTCCCTGTATTCTGATTCCTGAGCTTTCCTAACTCAGCAGTCTGTCCACCTGAAGCAGATTTTGGAGAGTGATAGGGCTTCAGCTTGGCTGTTGACAGGCATCTGGGAAAAGTAGGTTTCAAGAGATTGAGTTTTGTCTGTTGTCTGCACAGTCTGAGAGCCGACTGTTGTATCTCAGAGGGACACACTTAGTTGTTGCTGCCACACTCGCTCTATTCCTAACAGGGAAAATAACCCTTTTCAGATAAACATTTTTATTACAGTGTGCTAAGGAAAAGCAAAACTGACAGAGGTTTTGTTGTTGTTGTTGTTTGTTGTTTTGTTTGTTTTTGATGGTGTCTTATTACCCTGTGCTGGCCTGGAAATTACTATGTAGTTGAGGATGGCCTTGAACCTCTTCTTCTTTTACTTCCATCTTCTAAACAATGGGATTACAGGTTTGTGCCACCAGTGTTATGAATTTAGGACAATAGTATTACTTCCCTATTCCCTCCTCCCAACCCTCCTTTTAAAACAATTTAATAATTGTGTGTTTGTTTATGGTATTGGCCTCATAGATGTCAGGCACTCTTGCTGAGATAGCCTCCTTGTTTTTTGTTTGTTTTGTTGTTGTTGTCTTGCATTTTAGCCTTCCGTGCATGTTTGTCATTACTTGTTTATTCATTTATCTTGGTGAGCATGGTAAAACCAGGGACCTGTCTGCCTTAGAGAGGGGCAGTCAGTTACTGACTGACTGACCGCCCTAAACAATAGTCCTAAGTCAGCTATCCTGCCATGTTTATTTCTTTGTAGCAGTGAATCATTCCTTTCATGTGTCTTGGAGCAGAGGCTGTATTAGATGTGGTCTCTCATGTGTTCATTTTAGTTGTTTGTTTTGAATTTTAGCAATTACTATTTTGGAGGGAGGAGGATAAGATATGTTTTTTTCCTAATAAATTTTTTTTCTGCTCAGGAATTGTTTTTTATAAAGAGAAGATTTAATTTGAGTAACTTGGCCAGAGGGTTGTTCCTAAAGGAGGCTTAACCTTCATATGAGTCAGGGTAGAATGCATGAAGCTAGAGAATGTTTGCCTTAGGGTTTAAGTGCTTGGAGTGTAAACTAGGCCTAAGACTATGAACTGCTTGCTCTCTTGGAATCCCTGACTTTGAGTTATAAATCATGGCCCATGCACAGTCTGTTGTGAGCTGATCTTACTCTATATTTGAACTTCAAGCCTAATTAACTACATTAAAACCCCATTTTTAACACCCTAAGTTATTTGTTTTTCCTTAAAAAAGAAATAGAGTTTTTTGGAACCCTTCAAAAGGGATTTGTGGTGACTTGTGACCTGTGATCTTCCTGTCCTTCTCTCTTAGGTGCCCCTGTGCATAGACTCTTCGAATTTTGCTGTGATTGAAGCTGGGTTGAAGTGCTGCCAAGGAAAGTGCATAGTCAACAGCATCAGTCTGAAGGAGGGGGAGGAGGACTTCCTGGAGAAGGCCAGGAAGATCAAGAAGTTTGGAGCTGCTGTGGTGGTGATGGCTTTCGATGAGGAAGGGCAGGTAAGTGGGTGGTTTTTGTTGTTTTTTTTTTTTGGGGGGGGTCTACTGGCACCCTCGTGCTATCATGTGAGAAAGCAGTAGGAGGAGCTAGGTCTGACATCGCTATATGTCTATATACTCAAATATGTACGTGTGCTATCTTTAAATACAGATTTGCACACACGTAGGTAATATGTTTCTGGAAATTTGATATATTGTACAGTCTTTACACCAATGGGTAATGGTTGACATATTCACAAAGTTACTGGGACAGACAGCTGGTTTTGCATTTGGAAGAGAAAAAGAGTCCTGACTTAGTTCATTTTGTGCTACTGCAGAAGAATATCACTATCTTACTACTTTCCTATTGTTATGACAAGACACCCTGGCCAAGGCAGCTTAAAAAGAATTAATTTATATGGTGCTCATGGTTGCAGAGGGTTAGTCTATGTCCACAGTGGTAAGGAGCATGGTACCAGGCAGGCAGGCAGACATGGTTCAGCAGCTCGGATAGAAATTACCAGAGTGTGCCTTTTTTATTTGCCAATCAAGTGAGGTTACTGATACTAGCTCCCTAAAGTTGAGGAAGTGTCAAGTCAAAACCAGTACTTTAGTAGGCCTCGGGTTTCCATCCTAACAGTGGGATCCTTTTATCACTCAGGTTTCTCGAGACTGAAGTAGATATTTCAGTGGGATTAATCATTTTTCAAGAACATCTTCTTCCACCTTGACTTAGAACTGACCCTCACAATTGCTATGTATTTTTATGGAGTGAGAGCAAGCATAGTGATGTACCCTTACCTGTCCTATACTGTACTTTTCTCTACACATTCTTACCTATGTAGTAAAGCTTGGTTAGGAACAGTAAGAAATTAGCTAACACTATACCGTGGGATAGAGCAGGACAGTTCAAGATATGAGGCTTCATCACACTTTTCAGAGTGGCATGAAATTAGAAACTTTAGACCTGTAATTTCTGGATTCTTCAATTTCATATTCTTTAAGTGACAGTGGGTAACTAGTACCATGAAATATGAAAACGTGGGCAAGAAAGGACTACAGTTTTTTCTTTTGCTCACCCCCAGAGCACATTATGCTAACAATAGTCAGAAATCCAGAGTGCAGTTTCAATGGGCATGGAGGGTGAGCTGAAGACAGCTTCCTTGACAAAGTTGGGAAACACTGAGTAAAAGTGGGATCCCTTCACTCATTCATCTCTTCAACATGGTATTAAGCACATTCTAACAAGCCCTGCCTGTGAGACAGTAAGGCTGACATTCTAGCAATGGAGATAATAATAGATAATAAAACAACCAAGAATAATAAGTTGCCAAACTAATATATCTGGAAAGAGATGCCCAAGGAAAGAAGCAGGTGGGGAGGGTGGTAGTGTGCTGATCTGGAGGAAGTGATTAAGGCAGACTCTGAAGGGACGGTTGACTCTGTGAGCTGTGAATACACTTAGGCCTTGTGTTCTGGGCAGGTCAGCAATAAATGGAAAGGCTCTGAGGTAGCAACAGCAAGGTAGGAACATCATAGGAGCAGTGAGTAGAGAGGGCCAATGGTGGAGGAGAGGCCCTGGCTAAGTGTGATGGTCTCAGGAGTAGATGGTCTCTAAGTCATGCTAGAATCTGTGTTTTGTTTTTTTAGGATTCTGTTAAAAGGATGATGATAATTTATAGTTTTTAAAAGATATTTTTTTTTTTGTGTGAATGTTGTTTGCATATGTGTATGTACACCATATGCAAGCAGTGCCTGCAGACCAGAAGAAAGAGTCTGGTCTTCTGGAATTTAAGAGGTGAGCCTCCTTGTGGTTGATGGGAACCTAGTTTGGGTCCTAAGTAAGTGCCCTTGACCAATAAGCCAACTTTCTAGCTTTTGTTTTTGCTTTGAGACAGGGTCTCATTATGTAGTCCTGACTGACCTGGAACTCACTATATAGCCAAGGCTGGCCTTGAACTCAGAGATCCACTTGTCTCTGCCTTTCAGGGTGTTGAAATTAAAGGTGCGTGCCACTATGCAGTTACAACTTGAGACAAATGGTGACAAGCGTGTTGGGAGGTGGGTGTGGGGAGTAAATGCTTGTCCTTGAGTCTGCTGTGCGGGAAGACAACAGCAAAGTGGTGAGTGGTTGGCACATTGCAGGCAGGTCGGGAGGGGCGGGACACTGAGGAACTCTTACCCTCGTAGCCTACAGTGACCTGCCACAGCTCTGCCTCACCCTCTCAAGTGCTAGACTTACAGGTGTGATGCTCAGCTGCTTATTTTTTAATCTGTCTTTAGTGGAGTTTGCTTTTTTAAATCGTATCTGTCTTTAGGAAGCCACTTTGTTAGTATACCAGATATGAATGAAGTTTTATATAAAGAATAAAATTGTGATACTGAAAACATAAAGTCTTTCACTGATTCTGTTCTGAGACAAGTTGATGACTGTTTAGAAGTTTGACATTTGGGTTTCCGAGAAATCCAGTCATTGAAATTTGAGTGGTTTCAATAAGTGACATATGCTGTTTTCATAGATAACACTTTGGTTTTCTATTGTAAATTACATTTCTACTTTTTCCTCAGGCAACAGAAACAGATATTAAAGTCAGTGTGTGCACCCGAGCCTACTATCTGCTTGTGGAAAAAGTGGGCTTCAATCCAAGTGACATCATCTTTGACCCCAACATCCTTACCATTGGCACTGGGATGGAGGAACATAACTTGTATGCTGTCAATTTTATTCATGCAACAAGAGTCATTAAAGTAAGTCTGGGTATATGCTGTCTTTTCCCAAGGCACAGCACAAGTTTATCACCTTGGTTTAGCATATGCTTAGAACTAACACATACTGATTTGCTGAGAAGAGTAGCATTCCTTCCCTTAGTAAGTTGTTTTCTAAAATGTAGGGACTTTTATCTTTCACGTAATACTATTTTAATTGTGGTGTGTAAAATTCATGAGAATATATAAAACAGGGGCTGAAGAGATGGTTCAGCAGTCAGGAGCACTGTCTGCTCTGCTAGATGTCCTGAGTTCAATTTCTGGCAACCACATGGTGGCTCACAGCCATCTATATTGGGGTCTGATGTTTTCTTCTGACATGCAGATAGAATACTCATATACATAATATAAATAAATCTTTAAAAAAAGAATATACAAAACATAAAGTCTCTAGTAGTTATGAACTATATATAGCTTTCACTTTTCTGAAGTGACATAAGGCTACTGCCCCACATGTCTCTCATTTTCTGGGTATACCTTATTCTCAGTTTTATGAAGTACCTTTCATTCTGATACTTAATTATTGATTTTGCTAATAACTTTAGTACTTACATACGTGTTCAGTTTAATTAGTTATTGCTTTTTGTGCTTGCCAGTATATGCTCTAAAATTTAATTTTGACCTTAGTCATCCCCGCAGTGCTTTTATAGTTACCTGTGGACATGGCCTTGTGTCCATGACTCATACATCCTTAGATGAGGATGACCGTGGAGGCAGTCAGCTCTTACTCTATAAGCAGCTGTCTCGTTAGTTCTGTCCAGTGAGCTTTTATTATATTGTTCTGAGTTTTGTGATTTTCCTGTTTGAAAATGCCCTTCAGTCCTGGTGCCCATGCTTTCTAGTTTTCACGAGTGCAGGACAGCTCTGTTGTGCCTCATGGAGGAAATGGCTCTTGGATAAGCCTCATTCAGACATAAGCTGCAGGGCTGCTGGCCATGAATTCAGTGTTAATATTTAAGATGTGCGTACCTAATAGGTATCTTTAACAATGTGTTCGTGTGTGTGTGTGTGTGTGTGTGTGTGTGTGTGTGTGTGCGCGCGCGCATGAGTGTATGAGAATTCATGTGCGCTTGGTTAAGTCTGTGTCATACAAATGTATTCAAATGTCCAAGGAAGCCAAAGGGTGTTTTGTTCACTAGAACTGGAGTTAGAGGTGATTGTGAGCTACCTGATGCAATGGTCTGTTGTCTGTTTACAAGAGCAGTGTACGCTCTTAACCAATGCCTTTAACAGACACAGAACAAGGCTGTGAAATGATGAGATGATAAATGTGGTACCAGAGACTGTCAGCTGCTATGTTAGGAACAAGCCTTCATAGTTCTAATCCAGTCCTCAATTACTGTGAGGACAGAACTACCAGGGAGTCACAAGATCAGTTGTATGTCCACATAGTATGAATTGGCCTCTTTTTGAGCTTAATGTAATTCAAGTCATAAAATGCTTAAGCTGTTTTCTCCCTATGCAACTTTTTTTCTTTTTGGCAGAGGATCTCATTATGTAGCCTAGGCTGGTTTAAATTTACAGGCTTCCTCCAACCCTCTCTCCAGTGCCAGCAGGCCCACATCAACGTTATTTTAAATTCCATCAGTGTTGCTATAGCTACATTTGTTCATTTTTATTAGTGTATAATATTCTGCTATTTCCCTGAATCACAACTAGCCATTCTACTGTTAAAATTTGTGTGTTGAATAGTGGTATTGTGAGCATTCTTGTGTTTAGGTTGGTTCAAAATGCAGTTACAGATAGTGAATTTTAAATCACAACTAGGCTCAAACATATCTTCGTTAATTAAAATAGGAACCATTATAAGTTTTTTTTTTTGCCAATGAAAAAATATATACATATTTATATATCCTCTGAATTAAAAAATAAGTGTTTTGCAGGCTGCCAAGATAGTTCAGCAAGTAAAGGTGTCAGTCAAGTGTGATGATCTGAATCTGATTCCTAGGTCCTACATAATGGGGGAGGGTGAGAACTGGCTCTTGCAAGTTGTTGGGACTTCTTCACACGTTGTGGCTTGTCTGTGTACTCCTCCAAGTAAATACATGCAAACTTTTCGTTGTTTGTTTTCCAGGTAGGGTTTCTCGGTGTAGCCTTGGCTGCCCTGAACTCCCTTTGTATACAGAGTGGCCTCGAACTCACAGCAGTCCGCCTGCCTCTGCCTCCCTGAGTGCTGGGATTAAAGGCATGTGCTGGGCATATGCCCAGCTTCTAATAGGCATTTTTTTAGAAGTCAGTGCTTCCGGATTCAGTAACTGTTCAGAAAAAAATTTTGTCTGTCCTGCTGATTGAAGACTTTTTTTCTTCAAAAAGTTAATGAAGATGCTAGAGAAATGGCAGTATGTTGGCGAGTGATCAGGTGAATATGGTGGACAAGGCAAAACTTTGCAGCTCAGTTCTTGACTTTTGAAGCATTGGTTGTATGTAAGACATTGCCATGGAGAAGAACTGGACCCTTTCTTTTGACCAGAACCAGCTTCAGGCATGCATAATAGAAAGTAAAGTTTTTAAAAGCAAGTAAGAAATAATTAGCAAAAAACCCGTACTACAGGACTGCACATTAAAATGGTATATAACATAACCAAATTTTATCAAGAATGTATATCAGCATTAAGGAACAGATTTTAACAGTGCAAATCTATCATTGCTTTTGCACCAACCTAACATGTTAGGCATGCCTGAGCTTCTCTGTAGCATGTATCTGGGGGTGCAGTGGCTAGACAGTGGCAAGCCTGGACACTTAGGCCTATACCTGTAGTGGGAGATACTGTTGTTGTCATGGCTAATGCTTGGTGTTGTCATAGGCTCTCAGCTGCCCTTGTTGTAGATTTGTTGGATTTATGATGAACTAGAGAGCTTGTTTATTTAAGCTATTGAGGCCTTCCGGCTCTGAAAGGGTCAGGAATGTATGCACATGCACATTTGTAGAGGCATGCACCCAGTCTTTTGCTTTCTGTTTCTTTGCCCCGTCGTTTATCCAGAAAATATTTTATGTAACTCTTATTGCTGTACCTTACCATGGTCATTAAAGAGGTAGTCAGAGATGAAAGAGGATTTTGTATTTTTTCTGCAGAGATTAAAGTTTAGCAGAAAACACTGTTTATGAACAGTGCCTCCCTGACACTGTAAAGGTGGTGGGCTTATGTGATAGAAGAGGAGCCAGAGTACACGTACAGTGTGTGGCCGACTGGGCTTTGTGCAATGGCAAGCTCAGTTACTTTGGACTTTCTTACTTTTTATTTTATTTTAGTTTATTTTTTATTTATTTTATTATTTTATTATGTACATGTGGCTTTTGGCAAAATAGAATCTTTTCATGCTTTTTCATTTTTGCCAGGACACATTACCAGGAGTCAGAATAAGTGGAGGTCTTTCCAACTTGTCCTTCTCCTTCCGAGGGATGGAAGCCATTCGAGAAGCAATGCATGGTGTTTTCCTTTACCATGCAATCAAGGTATGGTGAAACCAACTTTGGGTGCTGGGAAGATGGCTGTGGGTAAAGTGTTCACTGCACAGGTTGAGGACTTGAGTTGAAATTTTAGAGCTTGTGTGAAACTTAGTGTAGTAGTAGCACCTACTGTTGAATGAGAGATGGAGACAAAATCCTTGGAAGACTGTAGAGCCAGCTAGCATGGCATATTCAATGAGAGACCCTGTCTGAAACAAGATGAAAGGCAAGAAAGAGAGAGACCTTGTCAGAAACAAGATGAAAGGCAAGAACAACACCCAAAGTTGTCCTCTGACCTCCATACACGTACCATGGTATATGTGTACCCATACATTGTAAACACGCACAAGAATTTTCAAAGAATTGAAACAAAAGTGATGTCACGCTAACTTTGATTTACAGCAGGGCTTACAAGCTGAGTCCTGCAGAATAACTGACCTGCTTCTGTCTCCCTTAAATGAAGCTTCAGTGGAACAAATGTCCTCACACGCACTCACCCCGTCACCTGTGTCCTGCTGCTTTTAGACTACAGCAGAGTTAAATAGTGACCAGCTATGTTGTAGAATATTTTCTCTGATCCGTGATTTAGGATATCAGTGGAAATCCTCATTTTTCTTTTTTGCCCTTAGTTTGGTATGGACATGGGGATAGTCAATGCGGGCAACCTCCCTGTGTACGATGATATCCATAAGGACCTTCTTCAGCTCTGTGAAGATCTCATCTGGAACAAAGACTCTGAAGCTACTGAGAAACTCTTACGATATGCTCAGGTAAAGGAAAAAGTTGTCCAGTGGGTGGCTTTTTCTGGCGTAGAATATATCACTCATGCATTGTAGAATAGGAGCAAGTGTAGAGTTGTACTTCTGGATCATTAATCATCATCATGGCTTTAAAAGCTCTCTAGAGAAGCGTTGCAACAGGGTGAGGAGTGAGAAATATACCTTGTCTAGGCAACTTTAGTATTCTGAACAGACTTCTTTCTCTAAATTGATTTTTTTTTAAAGTGCACTATTTCACATTAAATTGTAAAAAAGTACAGAATACAGCAATCAGAAGAAAATCAAAATCACTCACACTCTTACCACCTGAAGTTAACCACTGTATGATGAGGTTTTATTACAACTTCCAGTCATTTTTAATATATACGCTTTCATGTGCACATGTACATTTTATTATTGGAAATAATTTTTTCATACACTATATTCTGATCATGGTTTCCCCTTCTCCAACTTCTTTCAGATCTTTTCTACCACCTCACCTGTCCAACTTCATGCCTTCTTTCTCTCTTTAGAAAGCATACAAATACTACTAATAAAGGCTAAATAAGAAAAAAACCCACAAGAATCACACACATACTCACACACACAAAACCCATAGAAACACAAAATCGGAAACCATAATATACAAGCAAAAGACTACCAGTAAGATTAAAAAAAAAAAAAAGCTTAAACAAAGCAATATGAAACAAAAGTAAAACAAAATATAACGGTAACATTTGTTTTGTGTTAGCCATCTGCTGCTGAGCATGAGGCCTATCCTTAAGTGCTTTATATACCCAGTGAGACTCCATTGGAGAAAACTAATTTTTCCTTTGCAAACAATTGTTAATTGTTTAGGGATGGGATCTTGTGTCCACTAACCTGTCTCAGTGCTATGATCTCATCTGGTTTGACCCTATTCAGGCTCTTGCATGCTGCCACAGTCTATATGAGTTCATTTGTGTGTCAGGCCTGTTCGGTGTCTTTTATCCCCTCTGGTTCTTACAATCTTTCTGCCTTCTCTTCCTATCTCCCTAAGCCCTGAGCAGAGGGTTTAATGAAGACAATCCATTTAGGGACTAAGTGTTCCAAAGTTTTTCACTCTGCACATTTTTCAGTTGTGGGTCTCTGTGTTAGTTCCCATCAACTGCAAGAGAAATACTCTCTGATGGTGGTTGAGTGAGACACTGAGCAGAACAGTGTTTGGTTCAGGTAGAGCAGAAGTATAGTAGTTTGCCTATCATCTAGTTTCAGGTTCTTGACCACCCAGGCATGGGTTCCATCTCAAAGAGTAGGCCTTAAAATCTAACCAAAGATGGCTGGTTTCTCTTACCCATAATGTTTGTTCCATTGCTGCACCAGTAAATCATACAGGCAGGTCACCATTGTAGATCGCAATGCTTGTGGCAAGGTTGGTGATTACCTTTCTTCTCTAGTAGCATGTAGAGTTCCTTCCAGTTTATAAACACTAGAAGGGATGAACACTCTAGTTTGGCACCATAAAACTTGTGCATTGTATTATATTATCTTTGTTGTAAGTGTGTGTGTGTGTGTGTGTGTGGGTGTGTGTGGGTGTGTGTGGGTGTGTGTGGGTGTGTGTGTTGGGAACTGAGCCCCAGCATTTGAACATGCCAGCCAGGTAAGTGTTCTTCCACTGAGCTATATCCCCAGTCCCCCAGTTTTGTCTTTGCATTATGAATGTCCTTTTAAATAGCTGATTAAAAGTAAGATGGTCTTGGTGTGCTCCTTGTACTTCTGAAATGATTGTTTCATTCTAAGTATTGATTTTTTTTGGATCAAGTTAATCAGGTAATAGGTAACAGCTGTCAGGTATGGGGTAGATGTTTTCACTTGAGTGAAATCTTTACTGGCCTTTGTGTTTTTACTTACCATTGTCTGTATCCAAATTTCCTTTACTCCTTTACAAATGTGGTAAGCTATTTTTTTCTAGAATGTTTGAACAGTCTCCTGTTTTAATAAGGAAACTTCCCCAAGTCATGAATTGTTTTGACTGTGTTATTATATGTATCAGTGATGGGAATATGAGCCTTAAGTGGGCTTTTCCTTAATTATTTCTTGTCTAGATTTTCTGAAGTACCCTATTAATCAGTATTCTCCTTACCACCTTGGCATTCTTCCTAATTCCTTTTGTCTGTCCTTCACTCTCATTGTAATGTAATGGTTTTATATTTGTCCTCTCTTCCTGTGATCAGGCCTTCATCATAAATATGAGCACATTTCTCTCCTGAGTTTCAAAAACAGTACTTTGAATATGACTCTGGCTACAGGACTTTGAATACTGTCTTCTCCCTTCCTACCTTTGTGTGAAGCTTTACGTCCAGAATGAATTTCTGTGACTTGGCCTGTCCTATCCTGCATAGAGGTTACTCCAGCAGTGTCGGTTCTGGTCCATCATTGAAGCATTGCCTAAAGTTCACCACGCCCTCCCTCTCTGTGCTCTGCCTGACTTCGAGGGTCTGAGTGGTAGGAGTGGTGCCCTGCCTTCCAGAGCCTGCAGACATACATGTGGTAATCTGACAGCTTTGGAGTCAGTTCTTTCCTTCTGTCTACATGATTTCTAGGGATTGAACTCAGATCATCAGGCTTCACAGCAAGTGCTTGTTCTTTGAGCCATCTGGCTACAAAACGCTGAGACTTCTGATTTGGGCACTTGGTACCCTCGGTGGAGGGGGAGAGCATAGAAGGTAGTGTAATTTACCTAGTGTGCCAGGATGCTTGCATTGTGCTTTTATCCCTTTTCTGAGTCTCTTCCTCCAAGACTCAGCTTCTCTGAAGCCCTTCATTGCTATCTGGGTTGGCGGTTCTATTCCCTCAAACTTCCATGTTGCTCTTATGCAACCTCCACGTATTCAGCCCCAGATGTGCACTCTTAGAGCTTTCCCTTCTCTATGTTTTCTTCTTCCTGCCCTTAGTATATAGTAAAATCTTGATGAGCATGTGCCAGAGTCAAGCTCCGGTGGGTTCAAGGGCAGAGATGTGGTGTCAGTGTAATGAAGAAGATGACCAACCATCAATTTGTTGTTAAGGAGATGGCCCCAGGTAGCTTGAACCTCTCTGTTTATTTCATTTCAAAGTCACAAAGCATACACTTTCAGTTTTATTTTCTCAGGTATGTTCTAAGAAACTAGATAATGATTCTCAAAGTTTTTTTTTTTTTTTACAAGTTTCCTTCTCATAAGCTTTATTTTTTAGCCTTATGGGCTCATAGTTAACCACATCTCTGTGTCTGGTTAGCATGTTGTATCTTAAACACCTAGGTGCAGCCTATGTAATGAACTTTACAAGTTTTTATCTGAATCTATTCTGACAGTGTCTATATTTCTGTCCTGTACTACCATAGACAAGGTAAGGAAATTTATTCTGTTGGCACAAGAACTGGTTGACTCTTGGCCCACCCTTTCTGTTTTCTCATATTTATTTGTACTCATTAACTTCTCTGATCTGTTCTTTCTTGCAAGGACTATTTTTTGAGTCAGAAGGTACTATGTACTTTTCTGAGAATAATTATGTGCTTCAAGAGACTGTATGATCTCTATTTTGTCTTTCTTAAAACTTTCTCGGATTTTGAGTTGCTTCAGGAATCATCATCTCAATCCTGTCATGTATTTTCAATAAATCCACCTTAGAATTATGAAGATATACAGACAAAGAAAAAGAAAACGCTACCAAGAGCATACATAGTGTTGTGCCAGAGGAAAGGGATCACCCTATGGCCAGTCCCAGGAAATGCAGCCAAAGCTGAAGATTCTGTCACACCAGCCCTTGCCAGGCATACAGGAGTCTCTCCTTGGGTGCTTTCCACCAGGAGAGCCATCTGCAAAGCACTCAGGTGCTGTTCCCTGGAACAGAGCCATGGTTTCCACCAAGCATGATCTTACACGGCCTAGTGTGTCCACCTCCAGGAGCATTCTGCCTTCACTCTAGACTTTCTTCCTTTTGAATTTCTTTGAGACAAGGTTTCCTTATGTAGTCTATGTTGGCCTGGAATTCAGTATCATCCTACTTGGCTTTCCAGGTGCTGGGATTATAGGAGCATGCCACTGCAGCTCAGGGCTCCAGCTTCTCAGCAGTTGTATGTGGGTGATGTTGTTCCTTCCTGAGGGCTGGAGTGTTAGAGACTAACCATATGCCCTAGAAATATTTTGATGTCAGTTGTTAATTTTTAGGAAAGACAGAAAGAAAAAATAACAGCCATTCCTTTTCTCTACTGAAAGTTCAGATTTTAAAAGATTTCTTTATTTTTCTTTTCAACATTTACTTCAGATTTGATTAATGCTAAACACCCTGGGGTCTGGAAACTTGCAGAAAGAATAAGACACTGATTTTTTTTTTTTTTTTCTCTATTTGCTGCAAATAGTTCACTATATGCCATTTGTACCTACTTCTTGGTCTTAATTTTAATTTAGACTCATGGCAAAGGAGGGAAGAAAGTCATCCAGACAGATGAGTGGAGGAATGGCTCCATTGAAGAACGCCTTGAGTATGCCCTTGTGAAGGTGAGTACCAGAGCCTGTCTCTCTGGTGCCATTGCTGCCTGCCAGTAGTTGGAGGGAGAGATGCCTTAGACTTTTGACCATTGAATTTTAACCTGGAGAGATCTGTCTGTTTGTCTGTGCCCTCAGCTCATTTGACAGCGTTCAGTTTTCGTAGAGGTGTGGAAGATGCTCTGGAAGTCAGTGGTTATTGTACAGGGTAGGCCCACATACACAACAAGGACTTCCCTGGCCCAATTAGTAGTTCTGAGGTAAGAATCCTCTCTATACCAGGTTTCTTTGGTCAGTCAGCAGGTAGCTCTTGGTCAGGCAGTGGCTCTTCTATAATAGATAGAATTTTAGGTAAGATAAATAATGTCTTAGTCTCTGTTTCTTCTATTGTGAGTCTGGAATATTCCAGAGTGATTTTTTTGGCTCTAGATTTAACTTTTAATTCTTAGGCCTTCTGAGAAGATCTTTGGCTTTGGAGGAAGACTTGTCAGCAAAGGCCAGGCAAGTCAGAGGAAGAAAGGTCCAAGTTTTTTTGTTTTGTTTTGTTTTGTTTTTATTGTTGTTTTTAACTTCATCTGGGAGCCTTTCTAGTACTTAACCCTGTTCTAGCCAAGCAATGTTATAGTGAGAGAAGATGCAGACTTATTTATTTATTTGAGGCAGGATTTCACTGTGCATTCCTGGCTAGCTTGGAACTTACTATGTAGATCACTCTGGCCTTGAACTCACAGAGGTCCACTTGCCAATGCCTCGTGAATGTGAGTGTTAGGATTAAAGTCATGTGCCACCATACCCCATTGAGCAGATACTGATTTCATAGAGCTGTTTATTTATTAGCAGGATTGAACCTAGACCCTCACACATGATAAACACATACTCTACCACTCTACATTCCCAGTCTTCACTAATGCTTTTTTTTTCCATGTGTGCTTTCTTCCTATTAATAACTAGGCACTGTAAATAAATTGTATCACAGTGATTATCAAAAAATCATAAGGTTGGCACTTCTGTGATCCTATAAGTGAGGAAACCAAAACTTAATAAATTGCCTGTGTGAGTGATGAGACCCTGGTCTCAAACTCTGTCAGCCTGATTCTGGAATTCATGCTCTTACGAATCCTTGTGATTCATTTCTTGTTTTTTGGCTTTAATACATATTTTCTGTTTGTTTTCCTCCCTCTACTTCTTTTTCATTCTTCTTTTTTCTTTTAGGGCATCGAAAAACACATTGTTGAAGATACTGAAGAAGCCAGGTTAAACCAGGAAAAATATCCCCGGCCTCTGAATATAATTGAAGGTCCTTTGATGAATGGCATGAAAGTGGTTGGTGATCTTTTTGGAGCGGGAAAAATGTTTCTACCTCAGGTTGGTAAAACAGAGAAATGTTAACACATTCCTTTTTCTGTTTTCAGTAAATAGTTGAGTTGGAGTATTATCTGAGGTTGCAGGATAGACAGAGCTTGAGAGCATTATCTGGTCTCTTCTTCTCTGGGTATATTAGGAACCATCCCTAGCCAGACCCTCTGTTGAGTGTGTAGGGTTTAGAACACTTGCAGACCTTCTTAACACCATAATCTTCACGTTCTGCGTTTCCATAACCTCATACTGTAGTGCCTATCAAAATAAATGCAATGACCGTGGTCATTTTTAAGAGTGTATATCTTGAAAACATATTGGCACTTTAAATGGTACATTTTAAGTAAAAACGAAACTTGTTATTATAGATACTACTTAAAACTATCATTTAACAAATTATTGCTGAACATCTAGATTAGGGGCTCAGAAGCATATAAAAACTTGAAGTACCTCTTCATAAACCTCATTTTTAAGTGAGTTAAAAACCTGGGGATTTATGGAATGCTGGGGATGAATTGTGTTGAAACATGGAAGTTAAAAGATGCATAGAATTCAGAGACTGTAGAAGAACTTTAGGCAGAAAAACAACAGCAACAAAAACAACCTATTAAGCAAAAGTTCAGAAACAGAAATTATAACCTTTGGTTTCTGTTTGGTTTTCCTCTTGCTGAGTCTCATTTGCTGAACACCTCATTGGTGCCCCCCATGGATCTAATTCCTTACTTATCCTGCTCACTGTAGAAATCTGGGACGGTCAAATCAGCCATTCTTAATTGGTTCTGAAGCTTCACAGGTCAGCATTGGCAGTCATGTGATGGTTTGCTAATGATGTCTGACTGCTTTTTTCCAGGTTATAAAGTCAGCCCGTGTCATGAAGAAGGCTGTTGGCCACCTTATCCCTTTCATGGAAAAAGAAAGAGAAGAAGCCAGAGTGCTTAATGGTTCGGTTGAAGAAGAGGCAAGTTGTTTAGTCCAGACCTGGAGCCTTTTCAGGAGCTGGCCTGGAACACTTGTTTTTATGGGGTTAGGAGCCTCATCAGTAAAGCTTTTTTGAGGTTGTTGGTCCTTTCCTTTTTCTTTTTCTGCTGCATCATCTTTTGGCCATGTTCATCTTTTGGAGGAAACAGGTTTACTTTTAGAAAGCTCTTCCCCAAAAAGTCTTTGGTGGTGCCCTGTACCACTTGTAGAGTCCATTCATCCTTGCTGATTACACCATCAGAGTCAGCCACTAGCCTTTTTACTTTATTTAGAGCCCTGAGAAGTTAGACAACTTTGAACTTGACAGTTCTAAATTTTTAATCTAAATTTGCAATTGGCCACGTTAAAAAAAATGTTGCTTGCCTTGTATACATTTCCTCTCCATTTTCCTCTCAGTGTGCAGAAGAACTATTTCAGAGAATTACATTCCCTGCACTGGAGCTTTCAAAACCTGAAGGAAATCTGCAATTGGCCAACTCCTTCTCTCTTCCAACTCTTGGCAGTTTCAGGGTTAAAGATGTGATCTTCAGCTGTAGGACTATTTCTATGTGTGGCTGTCGACTCTTTCAGATACTAGAACCTGAGCTTGATTGAAATTCCTGGGCTAACTAACCTTCTAGGGAGGCCTTCTTTGCACTTCTCGGAGGCACAGAACTCTCAGTAGAGGCTGTTCTGTGGGTCTTCAACCTCCCTTGAAGTGGTTATGGTATTTATGCTCTGCCAACACCTGTGTGGCTCTTGAAAACTAGGAGGTCCTTCGTGGTGACCCCTTCTCATGCTCAGCTGCTTGCCTCACTTTGCAGGACCCTTACCAAGGCACCATTGTGCTGGCCACTGTTAAAGGTGATGTGCATGACATAGGCAAGAACATAGTTGGTGTGGTACTGGGCTGCAATAATTTCAGGTAAGTTGAGACCTCACTTCTTCCAGTGCCTTCATTTTTAACAAGGAGTGTAAACCTTTACTGAGAGGGATGGGGTAGGGTATGGCCATAGATAAGGTTGGGTTTTGTTGTTTGTTTGTTTGTTTTTTTTTTTTTTTTTTTGTAGGTTCATAATTATGCATCTTTACATATTTGGTAAAGGACATAGAGAATAGAAAGTAATCCCTAGGAGTTAAGTAGCCAGGAGGCTTCTTGAGAATGGTATTTTGGACATAGTCTGTAATGCTCATCAGGTTTCTTATAGCCACCATGGCTAGCATGTACCATTTTCCAGTCAGTGAACTGTCAGGTTTTAGACCAAGATTCTTACAAGAGTTGGTTACATGGGGCTTTCTAGGCTTTGTCTTTACTAGTCTCACCACCCTCTGTGTCTCTTGATGATTATATTAGTGTTCTCTAACTGATAGAATGAGCTAATATATATATTCGAAAGGGATTTATTAGATAGGCTTACAGGCTGTGGTCCAGATAGTGAACAGTGACTATTTCCTGATGGAAAGGCCAAGGAGCCAGTAGTTATTCAGTCAGTGAGACTGATGTTTAGCAGTCCCAATTGGTGTTGGAGTCCCAGGGAGGTCCTAGAGAGCTGCCAGTTTTCAGTCCACGTAGGAATCCCAAAGAAGTAGGTTCTAACTATTTAGAGTGAGGGCAAGCAGACAGAACGCAAAAGCTTTCTTCTTCAATGTCCTTTTATGTGGGCTGCCACTAAGATTTAGGGTATATCTCCTGACCTCAAATGATCTAGATTTAGGGTGGGTCTCTCATCTCAAATAATCCAGCCAAGAAAAATCCCTCATAAGTACTCTCAGCTGCTTGGGTTTTAGACACTTCCAAGGGTAGTCAAGTTGACAACCAAGATTTGCCATCACAGTGATGATGAAGTAGTTTTTGGAATGATATATGCAGATAAAAATCCCTTTTTGATAACTCAAAACAAAAATATTCATAACAGTTATTTTTAAGATAAGCTAATGGCTTATATTAATTTTATGTTGGTGAAAAAGTCACTGTTGCCTGTCCTGGTCCATGTCTAACCAGCAGTCCTTTGGAGTCATGGGCTGATTTCTCTGTGCCTTTCTCTAGCCGGGAGTCTGCTGGAGCTGTGGCTCTCACATTCTCTTTTCTGCTGTCAGTTAACAGTGAGCCTTCCCAGCCTCTCTCCTCTCAGTACTTGACCCACGTCTGGATTCCTGATTAGATTCCATTCAGGAAAGCCGAGGCTAGTCGGCTCAGGAGGACAGCTTTCCCCATGGCAGTCTTTCTGCCTTTCTTTTCAGCCTGTATCTTGAAGACAGCATTCTTTCCTAGCCTGGAAAATCAAGACTGCAGTTCCCACCACCTATTTATTATTCACTAAAATGAAATCTCAGCCTTTCTTCTATGATGCCACTTACTTGCCAGTGTCGTTTTGACCTGCATCAACTTTAGCTGTAATCCCTCATTGATATTCAAATTTTTATTGAGAAATGAGTTAGAATATTCAGAAGTATTTTTGATCAGATAATTGGTTGCATGACAGTTGAGTTTAGATATACTTCCTCAATTATGGAAAAAGCAGTTAATCCCAGCACTCAAATGCAGAGGTGGGTAGATTAACCGTGAGTCCAGGCTAGCCTAGGCAAGCCCATAGAGAGTAAACGCTTCCTTCTGTCCTGTTGTGTGGGCTGCCACTGGAAGGTATGGCTCAGATTAAGGATGGACCTTCTGATCTCAAATGATCCCTATTGAGGTTGGGAGGTTGAGAGGAAAGACTAAAGGGGGGAACATCTGGGTGCTAGACTAGTAGGGTGCTTCCATCTAATGGTAGCAGCAGGGAGTGCTACCCCTGCAGGGGCAGCAGTCAGGGAGTGACAGCTACTATCAGCTTCCTGAAAGAGGAATTACAGTTTAGTATTGCTGAGTTTTCTTTCATTTGTACCCCCTCCTTTCCTCTTACCCTCCTCCACCTCTTTCTCCTGTTTTTAATTAACAAGGAATATATATTTATTCCACAGTTCCTAAGTTACATATGTATAAAGTGTGACATTGAAACACATGTATACAGTGTATGCTGGTCTCGCATTTGTCTCCTTATGTGTTCTTACTGACGTGGAGGTTTCATTCTTCAATCACAGGTCTTCATAAGGTTGTTGTGTGCAGCAGTACCTGTACAGCTGTGGAGTGTGAGAGCTCATCTCTTCTCCTTAGCTGTTGTAGTCCCTGCTCTTCAGCCTTTTATCCTCCTCTTCCTCATCCTGTCTAGCCTCCATTAATTACTCTTCAACATTCTCATACTTTAAAGTCAACTTTCTAAGCTTCTTCATATGAGAGAGAGAGATCATATTTCTGTGTCTGGATTGTTTCAGTTAACATAATGGCCATCAGCTCCATTTATTTTGCTGCAAATGACATAGTTCATTCTTTTTATGACTGAGTAGTATTTAATTCCCTGTGTATATTACATTTTCTTACCCATTTATCAATTGATGGAGGCTTACATCATCTTTGCTATATATGCACAATTTTACTTTGTGATTTCTTCTGAAGAGTAAAAGAACTGTTTTTGTCTTTTTTCTAAATTCTGTGTAATTTAAAATACTGTTGGATATCATTAGTAACTCATGTTTTGTAACAGGTTTTTCTAAATTTGAATCCCAAGTACAATGCATACTTACAGCTCTCTCTCTCTCTCTCACTCTTTTGTTTGGTTTTGTTTTTTTCAAGACAGGGTTTCTCTTTCTTGGACTCGATTTGTAGATCAGGCTGGCCTCAGACTCACAGGGATCCTCCCGCTGCCTCCCTGAGTGCTGGGATCAAAGGTCCTAGCTAAAGCTCTCCTTTTTTCATACTGTCAAACCAATATGTCTGTACACATACAAATACTTGGGGAAGTTAGGTGACAACTTGCTCAGGAGCTGGTTTTGTGTACCATTTGAGTTCCAGGAATTGAAATCAGGATGACAGGCTTGATGGTAAATAACCTTTCCCCACCGAACCTCTCAACAGCATTTAGAAGTTCTGTTCTAAACACTTAGGAAGAACATTGTAAAATTCACATTTTTTACAACTTTCTTCCTTCCTCATCACCCCTTCCCCCCTCAAGTTTTTACTGTGTAGTCTAGGGTGGCCTTGAACTTGAGTTTTTTTTTTTTTTTTTTTTTTTTTTTTTTTTTTTTTTTTTTTTTTTCTATCTTAGGCTTTCAAGTGCTGGAATTTCAGATGTGTACCACAAAGATTAGCTAAATGTTCATTTTCTTCTTTGTTTTTAGTCTCTCCTATGGCAGAAAACAGTAATGTGTCAAGGAGAGCGAGGCTGCAGACATGGATGTATACACTTACAAAGAGCGAGGGATAGTGAAGGAAGTGGGGGAGAGGGAGGACACGGTAGAAGTAAGCAGAAATGCAGGGGAGTGCAAGCAACACAGAGCAGGGGTGGACCTAGTCATACCCTCCTAGGCCCAGGAACCTCATGGATTTTTAGTTGACTGTGACCCTGTACCATCATGGTCTAGGACCTGCCTTAGCTGCCTTTCCCTACCTCTAGCTTGATAACAGTAACTTAGTTTTTTCAAAACATAGCTCCAGTGTACCCTGAAATGTTTCTATTTGTTTAGCTTTAATGGTCTCGTGACACAGTAAAAATGCTCTCACTGGAGCACTTGTCATGCAGGAATCTAATTCAGAGCTTCCGTTTCTCAAGTATGCAGGAAATTCATCTGTGTGCCCTTAAAGATGCTGTGGGACAGTCTTGGTGCTAGATTGGTACTCAAGGCTGGGAGTAACTGCCTTTGTGAGGCCCTAAACTTTCTATGTGTAGAAAATTAGAGATATTTCAGTCATTTCCCAGCAAGACTTCTTGAAGACAGGTTAAGAAGTAGCAGGTTGACATTGCTTCCCAGTCCCCTTGCTCACTGCCCTCAGTCTGTCTCACTGACCACTTGTCACTCTATTTTTTGGTTCCTCCCTTTCTGAGCATCCTCAAACACAGGAATGTGTCCAGGCTCAGCCCTTGGGCGTCTCCTCTGTCCAGGATGGTGCTTCCTAACCTTTCCTGTCCCTTTGGGCACCTTGAGACTCAGGATGGTGGAGAGTAGGGCTGGACTCAAGTCCTGCATTTTCGGGGAGTTGTCTGGTAGCATTGGTGCTGCAGACACAGGAATCCCCAAGAAGTAAGGCCGAAGACAGGCTCAACCACATCATCTATCCAGTGTTTTGACCCTGGAATAAGATACCATTCTGGTGAGACCTCAGTGTCTTCATGTGGTTCTTTCTTCCCAGACTCCAGACATACATGTTCATGTAACTGCCTAAAGGGCACCATTTGGACCGAAATTGCAAGCTAATATTTTGAAATGGATTTAGTTGCCATCATCGTAAGACCATCTCCCTGACTCACCACTGTTTCAAAACACTGGTCCTACCAAACTGATAGGTGTCCTTAGCTTCTCCCGAGCTGCATGTAAACAATGAGTTCCACTTACAGTGTTTATAAGGGATTACCAGCTCACCACCTGCACTGCTTCTGTACTGTCTGTGCTTCTATACACTGCTCCTGACCATTGCTGTTTGATGTCTGAGTTTATGAGCAACCTAACCAGTTTCTGTTTCTTTGCTGTGCTTTTCTGGTTCAAAGTGAATCTGGTTGATTGGAACCGATCATACTCTTCCGTTCAACTGCTGCAGTGCCTTCTCTTAAGAGGAAAGCTTGTAGTCCTTGTTCTAGTCTACAAGGTCCCTTTTTAGGGTGTCGTCTAAGAGCTACCAGGATCCCATCTGCCAGTGAAGTCACAATCTCTGAGAAATACAAGCCAATTTCCAGATGGCTCAGTTGAAAATGTGTGGGTTCTGTTGTGTAATGGTGGGCCTTGACCCTGGATTTGGAGGAGGCCTCTGCTGCTTTAGCTGAGTAGTGTGCAGTCTCTGTCCTTTTCCTTACAACCTTCTCCTTTGCTGTTTGTGTTCAGCCACAGCAGTCACTTCCATTTTCCTCACACACGTAAGCTGTACCTGAATGTAACAAGATAAAACAGGAGAGAACAGTGAGAGCAATATAATTGTCATTGTTCTGATGATTTTTAATCAGATTTAAGAACATAATACAGGGCTGGAGAGATGGTTCAGTCATCAAAGGCTGGGCTCACAACAGAAGTGTCAAAAACATAATACAATGTGTAAAGAATCATCTGTGAGAGGCATACCTTTTTGTCTTGACTTAGAAGCTGTTTGCTCTTTTGCCTAGTTTTATATTCAGCAGTGTATACTTAGTCATCTTAAAGAAGAGATCTTTAGTTACCAGATTTTCTTCAGTATATTACAAAATAAAATAACCCGAGGGGTTCTCTGTCCCCACCTTCAGCGTCTGTTTGCTATTGGTTAATACTGGTAGAGCCTAGTGTAATAGTTGTCAGCTTGATACTCTCTCACTTTTTGTTGAGGGTTCCATAGTGTTAACTCAAAACAAAAACACACCTCTTGTTAAAAAAAAAAAAAAAAAAAAAAAAGAGTACAGGATCAAGATACAAATCCATCAGTATAAGAACAATAAGCAAGCCTGCTTTCCATCTCAGTGTTCAGACTCACTGTTGACAACTGGTGTTATCGTCTATAGATGTTCTTAAGTGAACTTCAAAAAATAATGATGCATTTTATTTGATTCATTTAATACATGAATTTTACTGTGTAGCCCTGAAGCAGGATCTTGGAACTTGTTAGATATAGCACAGGCTGGCTTCCAATTCATGGCAATCCTCTTGACTCAGCCTTCTGAATTCTGAGATGTACCATCAATTATGCCAAATTTGCTTTGTTTTTAAGAATTTCTGACAATAAAATAAATGGAAGTACATGTTCTAATTTTTAAATCACTTAATAGATATGATAAGATTAAGTTAAAAATACATAATGGGAACTTTCTCAACATAAAATGCAAGAATAAAAGGTAGAACATCTTAGAGTGTTCCTAGTTTCTGAGAGCTTCAGGATGTATACCTCTCTGAAATTTGGCATTATTTCTTCCCATTTTTTTTAAGAGTTATTATTTTTGCTTATGTATATGTGTTGGGTGACCTTGGAGACCATAAGAGGTCATTACATTCCCTGGAGTTAGAGTTACAGGGGCTTGTGTGTCACATTAGGGTGCTGGGATTTAAACTATGATCCTCTGCAAGAATAGCAAGGGCCTTTTAATTGCTGAGCCATTTTCCTAGGCTCTGCTCCCTGTTTTGTCTCAGTGCCTGCCCTCTAATTCATGTGCCCACTCAGAGCCTTCTTTCTCTCTGAGACTTGCTGACCTCTCTTGGTGCTGTCTCTGAGTCACTCTCTCTTCCTGTCTTAAGTACAAGCTCTGCCCAGCAGCTCTTCTGCATGTTTAAGGACCAGCTTCTTCCTGTTTATCCTCTCTACTGGCGTCTACCAGCAGTCTTTGGCTTGACAGATAAGGCAATGAGTTTTGTGTTAGTTTCTGATTGATGTTCCAACTCTATTGCCAATTAATTGAGTGATGGGACCTTGCCTGATCTGATTAGTTTTTCATGAGAATCACTGAGGGAAGAACTTGTGGCACAGAGGTGAGTTGAGAATGTAAGAGCCACTCAACAATCACAACATAGTGAAAGCAACTCAGGTGTCTTGTCAGTAGATGAATGGGGAAAGAATGCAGTGTGTCAGTCAGCTCTCTGTCACTGTAGAAACCTGCAAGAATTTAAAAGAAAGGTTTATTTCTGCTGATAACTTTAGAGATTTCAGCCCCTGTTGGCCCTGTTGCTTTTGGTCCTGGGACAACACAACATGTAATGATAAGTGTCAGGTAAAAGCCTCATAGTATCTGGGGTGTGAAAAAAAAAGAAATGAAAGCACTGCAACCCTGCTTCAAAAACACAAGAATAAAAAATAAATAAAATGTCAATCTGAGAACTAAACCCTGTCCTTTGGTATGTGTGTTTGTGTGTGGTTGGGTGGGGGTGGCATTTCAGACCTGAACTGTAGCACACAGTGCATTTGTACAATAGAATATTATGGATGACCTTTGATACTGTGGTTCCAGTTTACATGAGAGCAACAGATAGGAACTAAAATTAAAATGTTCATTTCAGCTTTGTCTCTCATGGACTCTTGTTAATTTTCTCACATCTCATTTCTTGCCTCAGAGTTATTGATTTAGGAGTCATGACTCCCTGTGATAAGATACTTCAGGCTGCTCTGGACCACAAAGCAGGTATTGTGCCACAGTCATCTGGGCTTAGCATTCAGCATCACTCTCTTAAGACTCTGTCGGAGAGTAGTAAAGCCTGGCTCATGTGGGGTCTAAGGGACAGCGAGGCAGCCAGCTCCAGTGTAGGCTCTTGGGGCTTGAAAGAGGTGTGTGAGTTCTGTGGTCTCTTGGGCTCTAGTGATGGAGGGAACTGGCTTCTTAGAGCAAAACAGATGGGTTAGCTGCCCCCCCCCCATGTATAGTTGTTTTTATGGTCGAATCTGAGGTGATCATGAATTAGAGATCATTTTTATTGTGTGGCTTCCTAAATCTGTTTCAAATATGTTACTTCAAATTTAAATTTAAGTTACACTTCTTATTACCCAAATCAAATAGTAAATTCCTAGAATTAGAAGTTGACATATTAGGTTTTCTGATCTTTAGTATATTTTAAATGAAAGTATAAACTTCTTTCTCTTTTTCATTCTCACTGGTCAGTTTTGTTTTTTTTTTTTCTCTCTCTTTTGATTATAGATATAATTGGCTTGTCAGGACTTATCACTCCATCCCTGGATGAAATGATTTTTGTCGCCAAGGAAATGGAGAGGTTGGCAATAAAGATTCCATTGTTGATAGGAGGAGCAACCACTTCAAGGTAAGTCAGCATGAGCAGCTTTATACTTACTTTGAAGTCTCTTGAATGCCAGGGTTTAAGACAGAGGTCAAATTTGCCATTGTTCTCTCTTTTGCTTAGCATATAGTTTCCTTGTTGCACAAGATTTCCATTCTTTCATTGGGGAAGTGTCAGAAAACTTTTAGATCCCAATCTTGGAAACTCTTTTGTGATTCCTTCCCCTTGCCTTGTTTTGGATTCTGTCTTTTTTGCAATTATCTTTTCTTTAATCCTCTCATCCTCCAGGCAGCTCCTAAGAATTAAAATGTTCTCTGAACCCTCTGGAAATTAGACTGAAAAGCAGAACTGTGATGTTTTGTTTTTTTAGAAAGATGTTGCTTGCATTTCTTCCTACTTCTACTCTGCAGGAGTTTGGCTAAGTAATTATAAGTTTCCTGGAAGGTACTCGAACCTTGTAATAGTTTAGAGATAGGCTAATGAAAGTGAGCTAAGCTGTCAGTTGGAGGAATTGTTCCTGAGAGGAGGACTTAGGGGAAACTTTAGTATAAAAGGGATAAGGAGGAGAAGGTTCACTCTGAGTCACATAGGCAGTGTTGTTTACATTCTTCAGGGATGGTGGTCATGGTGAGAGACACTAGGCTTTTGCAGCATCCCTGACATCACAGATACTTGATGGTTGGCAAGACATAGTATCGAGCTGGAGCATTGAACTTGGGAGTCCCACAGTGTACAGTTTGGTTTGTCCTAGTGCAAAAGTGAATTTCTAGTAAGATCACAGGTGTTCTAGAGCTACTCAGAGAGTGAGAGATTTTTTTTGAGGAATGAGCTCCCGTGATTTTGGGCCTGGGAGACACAGAATCTGTAGGCTAGAGACACAGGCAAGAGCTACTGTTGCTGTCCCAAATCTGAGGACAGTCTTCAGGCAGAAGTTCTTTGCACAAAAAGCAGGAGTTAAATGAGATTGCTTTATATTTTCTGAAGGTTTTTAGCTGCTTGATGAGGTTAATCCAAACTATGGAGAATAATCTATTGAATCTATAGATTTAAATGTTTATTACATCTAAAAAGTATCCTCAGAGCAACATTTAGACTGCTTGCAGCAGGACCGGAAACTGGGTAGTGTGGCATACCTAGCTTCACACACAGAACTAACCATCGTGTCCTTACACTGTGAATGGAGGGTTTTCACAAGTAACAAAATGTTTACATCTTTATCGGTTAATGACTTCTCATGCTAAAAATGACTTGACAGTTCTACCACTGTTGTTGATATTAGAGAACTGGGCTTCTTTTCCACTGAGGGCTCATTTTCTAACCAAATGGAAGAATTACTTTGATGGCATCTCATCGGCCACTGATAAAGAGGCTTTGAGTTTGTTTTCTTTCTGTACTGGTATTTTTACCTGGGGCCTTGTGCTTTCTAGGCAAGATCTTTCTCTCTCTCTCTCTCTCTCCCCTTCCCCCCTCCCCCCCGCTAAGTTGTGTTTGCAGCCCCCTTTTTACTTAAAATCTTTTCTTTACTTTTAAGACAGGTCTTGCTATATTGGCTACTTTTGAACTCACTGTAGCCCAGGCTGGCCCTGAATTTATAGTTCCCTGCCTCAGCTTTCAAGTAGCTGGGATTGTAGGTCTGGACCACCAGACCTGGTCAGTTACTTGAGCTTCATGAACTTAACTTGGTCTTTTGCTTAGTGTGGGAAGTGGCAAGAAGACCTTGAATTGTTGTCAAAATACTTTTAAAAATTGAGATTATGCAATATAACAAATCTTTACATTAGGAGTTGTGTACCTGGGACATTGGATTCATAATTAAAATATTTTTATATCATAGAGTGCTTCACTAAGATCAGGAATTTGCTTCTTGTGCTGATTTGAATTTAACTTCATGGTCTGTTTTTATTATATGAGCCTCGGAACAAGAGAAAAGCTCTCTGCAGACCCTGGTTGCTGCTCCTCAATGATTGAGGGTTCAACAGGGCCTAATTCTTCCTTTCACCAGATGACAGCTCAGGACTTGTGAGCTTTCATGAGACAGATTTCTGAGCCAGTAGTAGCATGAAACAGACCTGTGCTTCTGAGACATTTGAGTACAGGTATGACCATCCTGGGAAGGTTACCGACTGCTCTCTGCGGTATGGCTGATGTGGTATCACATATGGAAATCTGGCCTTGCTATAGGCAGAGCTTCACAAGGTATACATTCTGAAAGTCAGCTGTTAAATTTAACAATGCATGGCCAAATATTACAAAGTAGACTTGGCAATTACTTTTTTTAAAAAATTAACAAAGTCACATTGTTCTAGTTACAGATAATTTTCTGTGTCTGTCTAATTGCTCAGAAGTAAGCTAAGTATATTACCTTCCTTTTTACATTGATTTACTTCCTTTCCATAGGGAAGCTTAGAATGTAGGGGTATGTGTAGGATTTCATGGAATTCATTTAGATGCTGTTCTTATTTCTGATCCATCTTGGTTTCCCCATCTTATTTTTTTCCTCCTTCCTTTTAAAAAATATTTGGGTGTGTATGTGATGGTGAGAGGACGACCTTGTGGAGTTGTTTCTTTTGGGTGTACCTATACCATGGTGTGCATGCAGTTGGAGGACAAGGGTTTCTGTTTCTACCATGTGCGTCCAAAGGATTGAATTCATGTCACCATGCTTGGCAGCAGGTGCCTTTGGGTTCCAGGGATTGAATTCAGGTTGTCAGGTTTGTGCAGTAAGCACATTTACTGGCTGAGCCATTTCACCAGCCTCATTAAAGCACTGGCCATGCAATGTTTATATAAAAGTACTTTAATTCTTAGGCCATGGTGTAAAGAGTAACAATACACTTTGGCTGAGGGGAAGAATGTACAAATGCCTGATTTGGAAGAAGGAAGGAGCAGGAAACATGTGATAGCCATCCCATGAGAGGCTTCTCTCCATCTGCAGGCTTCACTTTAAACACTGAAGGGAGGCTATGTATATTTCCAGTTCTTGCTTTAATTTTGTATATTTCTTAATGAAATTGCAAATATATAGCCTACACTGTTGCTATAAGAGCATAGCAATCAGGACAATATGTTTAACATGTTAAATGTAATATTTAAGAATTAAAGGTTGGCCTGATGCCATGGCACATGCCTGTAATCTCAGCCCTCTGGAAGGCAAGGGAAGCAGATATCTGTGAGTTCGAAGTCAACCTGGTCTACAAAGTGAGTCCGGGACAGCAAGGCTACAGAGAAACCCTGTCTCCAAAACAAAACAAAACAAAGAATTAAATGTTGTTCTTCCTAATATCTGTATGCTAAAGTTTGCCAGTAGAAACTTGGGCTGAGTAAATGGTAGTATGAAATTATGTTGTTACTTCTATGCTTTGTTTTAATTAATTGATTGACTTTTGTGATATAAGGGATTTGATTGAACCTAGGGCTTTCTGCATTATAGCCAGAGATATACCACTCAGCTCTACCCCTAGCCTCTTTTTATTTTACTTTTTGTTAAAATTCAGATCTGGAGTTTCTTTTTACAATTAGAAGGTGAAGTTGAGGCCAGTGGTATAGATGTCTCTCTCAAAGAGGAGGCAGCAGTCAGATCTGTGTCCTGTGTCCTCTTCCTGGTTCCTGCTTCCCCAGGGTGCTGGCTGGTCTCCCAGCTCATTTGGAGGAAGGAACTTGACCTTGACAGTAAGCTGTGACTGCCAGGGACTGGTTTCTCCCTTGGCTCAAGCCGTCCTGGGCTGGGACTCATTTCTTGTTGGCAGATAACTAAGAACAAACCTTTCTCATTTTGTCAGACTCTCTTGGAACCTAGGCCTATTAATTCATATCATTTCACCTTGTTTTCATCTCAGGATGGGGAAAAAGCATTCTTAGTTTATAAGTAAAATTAAGTAAGTATTTGAAGTCTTTCTTTTGAAAATAATGTGAAAACATATCTGTAATGGTTCTGAACAAGGAGCTGTCAGCACTGATGGTTATGCTTTTCTTCTTGACCCTTGTTTTCAGAACCCACACAGCAGTTAAAATAGCACCACGATACAGTGCGCCTGTAATCCATGTCCTAGATGCATCCAAGAGTGTGGTGGTGGTGAGTGTGTGGGGGGTCTCCCTTTATTTTAAATGTGTTGTGAAGAAAACAAAGGAAGCATTAAGAGGTATCACATTGAGGTATCACCAAGGTACATTTTGCTTTGGCCAGTTTTCATAGCGAAATATGAAAGAGCAGGCTAGAGTTCATGGTATGCTGTTGCTGTGTTTGCCTTGCTGGAAGTAAGTTCTTTTAGCATGTCTTGTGCGTTCAGGATATTGACAGAACTGAACAGCAGCTGGAGGATGGTGCCAAGATGCCTTGCACTTGGACATCTGATCAGATTGACAGATGCCTTTAATTTACAAATATGAGTAGATTTTGTTGACCATTGCTAGAATTAACTGGAATGTAGGGTTTTTTAAATGAGCTTGTTCCAGATGTAATAACTTGATAGGCCCAACTGGCTCAACCAGAAAGCAGAACAGTTGCCAGATAGTCAAAACCCAGAGTAATAGATAGTTTCTCAGTGAACACAACAAAACCTTGCCCAGGTATCTTTCCTTGCCTTTGTCCTCTAATGAATCCTGATTGTCATTCTCATGTGTTTGCTGAGTTACAGGCTGCAACAGCTGGAGGACATCTGAGAGACCGCATGGTCTTATAATTTTCAAGTTATTCACCTAGAAACTCAGTCTAAGATAGAAGAGAGCTAAGCAACTCCCTCTGTCCTTAACCATTTGTAGTTTTCAGTGGAAGGGCATGGTTTGACAACAGCGGACGTTTTTGTAGGGGAGGAATCTACGGAAGGGCCTGGTGATCTGGGAGACCCTAGTAACATGCAGACTGGATGGCAGTGACCATAGTTTCTGAGCTATCTTCTGAAAGGAAAGTTTTCAGATATGTGTATTTTTTATGTGGAGTCTATACAGTAATCACTGTTATACTGAATCACTATTAAACTGAGTTGAATCTATCATAGAAGGTTTCCTTGCCTGGGTCAGGGTGGTTGGTGGTCGTGCAATGCCACGGTCTGTTTGGAGGCCAGAGACAACTTGTGGGGATTGTTTGTCTTCTTCTACCTTGGATCCCAGAGATTAAAGTCAGGTTGTTAGATCTGGCAGCAAGCATCTTTACCTACTGAACCATCTCCCCGGCTTCAGTAGAGTTTTTCTTCCTTTGCTCCCTTATGGTTATTGAACTTTATCTTGTTTTTCAGTGTTCTCAGCTGTTAGATGAAAATCTGAAAGATGACTACTTTGAAGAAATACTAGAAGAATATGAAGATATTAGACAAGACCACTATGAGTCTCTCAAAGTAAGTGATAAAAGCAGGTCTTTGCGTATTTCAGATCAGAGGGATACATGGTTTTTTTCATAGGCTTTATTGACTGTTTTGTGAAGTTTTTGAGACAGGCCTATTTCTTAGTTCAAATCTGAGTTGTTTGGGTTTTTTTTTTTTTGTTTGTTTGTTTGTTTGTTAAAATAAATTTCAAGTATAGCATGGACCTGTAATCCTAGCATTTAGATGGGAGCAAGAGGATCATGAGTTTGAAGCTAGCCTGGGCAACTGTAGTAAGACTATGTCACAAAACACTTGGATTTTTCCCCCCCCCTCTGTATAGAGCCAAACATTCTGGATCCTTAATAGGTGTTAGGCTCTATGCCAGATACCAGGCCTATGAGAAAGAGTAAAACAAGAACTCATAGACAGCCCAAAAATATGAGGTAAATCATTCCAAAATGGTATTTTGAGACTCATTCTTGAGGGAAAAAAAAATAGAAGAAAATGGAGGCATAAACCAGGTCGTTCTCAAGCCCCTCCTCTCCTTACTGGCCCAACCTTGTCTGCCATTCAGAATAATGTGCCAGGAATGGCCCCTCTAGTCTTCAGAAACCTGTAATTATCCTCTTGAAGTCATGGTGGCCTGCCTTCCATCTCTGTGTGGGGCATTAGAACAGTTGCTAGGAGTGTGAATGAGACACTAGACAGCTGATTCGTTTCTGAGGTGCTCAAGAGCCCCAGGTACTGCTGCTGCCTTCTTTCTTCTCCTTCCATTTTTCTGCAGCTGACAGTTCCTTGGGTCTCCCCTGGTCTGGTCCTCAGGGTAATTATGGTGGGGCAGTCAACTCCAAGACCACGTGTCCTGAAAGAGTTGGTCAGTCCTGCAGGATCAGTCTTAAAGTCACAATGTGAAGCTAATAAACACTTGTCAGTCTTTACCATCTCCTATTCTGGTGCAGTGTGAAGCCATATTGGATGGGAAATGATAAGAATTTTCCTTTAAAAGAGTTTAGTTTTGTTCATTTGGTTATTTATCTTGTTTGGTTTTCTTGGTTATGTTTTTTCATTCTAGAGATAGAAAAGCTATAAGATTCTGACTAAATAACTATTTTCTTCAACAGGAGAGAAAATACTTAACCCTGAGTCAAGCCAGAAAGCATGGTTTCCACATTGATTGGCTGTCTGAACCTCACCCAGGTCTGTGGCTGTTGCTGGAGACAGCTAAGTGTGGTAACTGACACTGTCTAGGATGTTTGCAGTTACTTGGCTACAAATGAACCTGCAGCGATTAATTCTCAGTTATGTGTAATAGAGTCACTCTAATGACTGAAAAGAAAGTAGATAAGGGAGAGCTGTTGAGTGCCACACACTGCTGTGAGATGTCCTGAGTGAGCTTACTGAGGCCGGTGGATGACTGTATTGTTTATTGTCTCCATTTTAATTGAAGAAACTGGAATTCCAGATAATAACTTGCATGGCTTTCAGGGTTCTAGGTCAGGCTTGTCTTCTGTAGCCTTGCTCCTTCTCTGTGCTATGCTTGAATGCGCCTTCTCACTGACCTGAGTTGCATGCAGGCCAAATGTCTGAAACGTAAAAAAAACTTTGCATTCACAGCTCTTGAAGAACTCTTCAGTAAAGCTGGATCTCACTTTAGTTTTTTGTTCTTTCTCAGGATGCTTCTCTTTTTAATTTCTGTTATGTGGTTTCTTCCCGTTTTATTTCTAGCCACCTTTCTTACCTCACATAGGTGTTCACAAGGGAATAATATGCGTAAGATGTTTTGACAGGCTCAGAGAGACATGAGGTACAAATGCAAAACCGAGACAGGGTGAGAGGGGGTTCTGTTAACAGAATCTGTATTTCCAAGGTAATATGTGGAGTCAGTTTCAGTGCTCATGACATCTGTGTTCCTCACGTGTCCTGCAGAATCGGGGGATTAAATTGGAAGTGTAGGTGTGCTTGGTTCTAATTTCATTCCTGCTGGATTCATGTGGTTTAGTGGAAAGAGTACTGGCTTGGGAGCCGGGAGCCTGAGTGCTCATCCTTTCTTGGTTCCTGGCTCTGATTCACTGTGTGACCTTAAGTGTCTGTCTTCTACGTTTGAAAAGCTCTGATGTGTAAAGGCGATTACTTTATGGGAATGTTGAAAGGGTACAACAGAGTCCATACCGTGCTTATTCACTATTTATCCTTTACTCTGACATTGGTCTAGAGGCACCAGGGCAAGTCATGCATCCAAAATGTATTTTGCTAGAAATGATTCTGAGAAGGCCCTTGATGCCTAGCAATGGTGGAGGTACTTCCTGGGTTGCCTTTTTGACCCTGATACGACACGTCACTAGGCTCTGCTTACTGCCTGAGGGATATAAGGGTCCCAAGGTATGACCTTTGTATGTTTTGTCTTCAGAGAGCTGTAGGAAGTGAAACTCAGTAAGAAGGGGTGTGGGGTGGGGGTGGGCTTCTCTCCAGGCCCTGGGAAGTAGGACCTAAAAGCAACCCTGGAATTCAGCATGAAGCTTGGTCAAGAGTAGCCCTGCCCACAGCAACTCCACAGTTGCAGGTCACTGCCTGCCTCTAGTAAGAGACCTCTTTAGTCTGGGGTGCCAGTGGTCTCTCTTCAGTTTCTCTCGGTTAACAAACAAACCTACTCAGTGGTGGTTAAGAAGGCCAGTCCTGAATCGTAGGAAGACAGCAGAACAGATGGGAAGAGTCACTGCAGTGCAGGAAGGCAGAGATTCCAGCTCAGCTAAGAGCGCCTCTGCTCTCTTCTTGCTTCCTGAGAGGCCTGTGTTCTTCAGAGCAGCTGCCAGCAGTGGAACAGCGAGTCCTCGGATCCCTAGTCACACGGAGACATGAGCACTGAGAGTTGGCAGTAGTACTAGACTTGGCCCCTGGCCCGGTAGCCATGTGGCATTGTGTTCTTAGTGTCCTATAGAGTCCCCAGAATTATGTATGTTACGATATGTTTAGACTTCCTATGTAGAGGATAATTTCTGAACACCTGTGTATTTCCATTACCCAGTCTAAGAAATATTTTACAACTTACTTGTTTATAAGAAATCAAAGATACTTATCCATTGCAGTCCGTTGTCCCCCACCTCCAGACGTAGCCACAGTTTGGAATCTGGGACTTCATTTCTGTATGTGCCGTTACACTTTGTGTGTGTGTGTGTGAGAGAGAGAGAGAGAAGAGGGAATGCAGTGAAGGCATTTCTGTAAATGCCATTTCTGCACATGCCATTACACTTTGTGTGTGTGTGTGTATGTGAAGTGAAGGCTGTTGCTTCTTTCCTGTATATGACCTTACACTTTGTGTGTGTGTGTGTGTGTGTGTGTGTGTGTGTAGTATACAATGAAGGCTGTTACTTCATTTCTGTATGTTTTTTCACTTAGTGTGTGTGTGAGTGTGCAGTGAAGGCTGTCGGTTTGTTTTTGTAAACTTCGTATAAGTAGTATACTACACATGCCCTTGGGCAGTAGTCTTCTTTTAACACTGCCACCATCTGTATACTTGGAGATGAACTCAAGGCTTCCTTTTTTTCTTGGACATGGTGGGGATGGAAGGGTTGAGGGAAGAGTTTCCAGCATGAGGTAGTCAGTCAGCTGCGTGGGAAAATTCCTTCTCCGTGATAACTTAAAGTTCTGCTCTTCGTAAGACAACTCCTACGGGTGACAGGAGGGAGGCAGGCGTGGGAGTAAGCTGCACAGGGAAGAACAGGGAAGGACATCTCTGTCAGTGTGAGTGCTCTCCCCGCTGGTGTGACACTGACAGCTCTGCCTCTTTCCTCTAGTGAAGCCCACATTTATTGGGACCCGGGTCTTTGAAAACTACAGCCTGCAAAAGCTGGTGGACTACATTGACTGGAAGCCTTTCTTTGATGTCTGGCAGCTCCGGGGCAAGTACCCGAATCGAGGCTTTCCCAAGATATTTAATGACAAAACAGTAGGTTAGTAAGTCCTTCCTGCCTGGGATTCAGGGTGTGGTGTTGTGACTCTAAAGGTGACTGAAGAGGATATACTAAGTGTTTAGTTTGTACGGGATATAGCTGCTTCTGGATATATTGCTCACCCACTCAACTTTCACATGAGCATTTCGTTATTTGTTTGCCCTTATTATGTCAGGTAAACTTGGCCTTTTATTCACTTATTCTTTAAATAAATGTACTTACTGATGTCAGTTACATACTGGTGATTTAGTACCTGACTCACTGGTGCAGCTGACAGTACTAGGTTTGCACTGGCCTGATGCTGGCCTCTTGCTTTGGGCTCAGCCTGGGATCTCACTCACATAAGAAGAGGGGTTAGAATTCTGACAGGAGGTTAGAGTGGCTTCCTGGTGGTCGTGGTACTTGAAATATTATTGAAGAGTTCATGGGAGTTGCTTCGGCTGGGTGTAGGGATAGGAAGCAGAAGTAAAGGATATTTCAAACAGAGAAGGAAAGCGAGAAGCCTTGGACGTGGGTGCCCATGTGGGGGACTGCAGATTTCATTGTGCACAACATCCAAGGAAGGAGTAAGACTTTGCGAGATAAAGTGGGAAGGGAGTAAATCAGGAAATTGCTCTTCTCAGTTGTCATGAGTTGTCAGACCAACCCCCAAGACCCAGAGACATGGAATCACAGCAAGAAGAGGCCAGAGCAGAGCAGCATGGGAAGAGTACTGGTGAATCCTGAGATTCGACTGGAGGGAGCCTCAGAAACCAGATGTTTGTCAGTTTCTGGAGGGTCCCAGACATGTTAGGAGGCTGAAAGCCAAGTGCTTATGGGTGGTCAGGAGGATTGGGCAAGGGGCTTCTTACTGCTGTCCCTGTGCCCCACAGGCAAGCTGTGAAGGGGCTGTAGTATTGCCCTTCACACAGGTAGAGCAGTACATTGTTGGCCACTGAAAGCTAATGGGAACCGATGGAGGGAGTCCCAGAGCTGGTCTGGTGCCTACCATTGCAGGTGCTAAAGATACAGAGTTAGGCCACACATCACTGCTTACCCTGTGTTGTCCCCAGATATCATTGTGAAGTTAGTGGGGTCATGTGCCCTCTTTCTGACAAGGAGTGCCCTAGATTTAGCTTCAGAGGAAGCACACTGTGGGGTTTATTTCATAGACCCACTAGCTGCTGTGTGCTCTGCTGCAGATTGTCCCTATGGCAAATCTCAGAGTCTTTGTGGGAATGGAGAAACGGTAGGGGAAGGAGAAGCAGCAGTGTTTTAAAAAGAACTGTTATTTACAGGTTATTATTGTCATCTTTAAATACATTCTTATTATATATTTTTAATAGGTGAAGAAGCCAGAAAGGTATATGATGATGCTCAGAATATGCTGAACATACTGATCAGTCAAAAGAAACTCCAGGCTAGGGGTGTGGTTGGATTTTGGCCAGCACAGAGTGTTCAAGATGACATCCACCTGTATGCAGAAGGCGTGGTGCCCCAGGCTTCAGAGCCCATAGCCACCTTCTATGGGCTGAGGCAGCAGGTATGGAGTGTGGACAGCAAGGACACTGCTTTGACTTTCAGCTTTGGAAACTACACAAGATGTCATTGAGAATTAGAAATATGTACTACTTTATCCAAACAGCCCTCCATAGGCCTGAGTCCTAGACATTTGTGAGGATGGAGAGGAGGCGCCAACATGGGCGTCCATGAGGTAGGGTGGGGGCTCACTGTAGGGTTTGCAGATAGACAAGGAACAGTCTCACACTCAGTCCTTTAGTCGTCTTATATCTTGAAATGAGGAGGCATTTACTTTCCCCAACAATTGCATTTCATCTGAGTGAGCTACTAAAGACTGTTATGTGGCTTACTGTCTCAAAGAGATGGGGACAAATATCTCAGAGTGTCACCCTTCTGGGTGTTAAAGAGGGAGTAAGGTAGCTAAAGTATAACTGTTGGGTGGTGCTGTTGTCAGGCAGCTTGTCTGTCTCACAGAGGAAAAAGCGTGGACAGCGGGAGCTAGCACTGACGGAGCTTTGTGTACAGAGAGGCATGCCGTTTGAGGGCACCCTGGCTGTACTTTTCTTTGTAACAGTCCTCCTCAGTACACACCTCCTGTTTTTGTTGTTGTTTTGGTTTTTCGAGTGAGGGTTTCTCTGTGTAACCTTGGTTGTCTTGGACTTACTCTGTAGACCAGGCTGGCCTTGAACTCACAGAGATCCCCCTGCCTCTGCCTCCAGAGTTATGGGATTATAGGTGTGCTCCACCACCGCCTGGCACACCTTCTGTTTTTTTTTTTTTTTTTTTTTTTTTTTTGTTTTGTTTTTGTTTTCAATGGCATATTCTTTTTTTAAATTTAAATTTATTTACTTTACATCCCAAAGGTGTCCCCTCCCTTCTCTCCTCCCAGCTCCTACCCTTCCTTCCCCCTTTGTCTCTCCCTTTCCCCCCAGTAAAGAGATGCCCCCCCCCCCCCCCCTCCCCTCCCCCCCCCCACCCCCCCCCCCCTTTCCCCCCCCCTCCCCCCCCAAAAAGGGGGCCCCCCCCCCCCCCATATCAACCCTCTCCATTACCTCAAGTCACATTAGAACCGAGCGTAACCTCATCCACTGAGGCCAGGCAAGGCAGCCCTGCCAGGGGGAAGTGATCCAAAAGCAAGCAATAGAATCCATGTTAGAAACAGCCCTATCTTCCCCTCCCCACACCAGGCGACACAAGAAGGCCAAATTGCCCGTTCAGGGCCTAGGTCCAGAGCATCCATGCTCCTTAGCTGACGTCTCAGTCTCTGTAAGCCCCCATGGGTCTCGGTTAGTTGTCTCTGTAGGTATTTTTGTGGGGTTTCTTTTCCCTCCAGCTCCTTCCATCTTTTCCCCAACACTTCCACAGGACACCTGGAGCTCTGTCCCATGCTTGGCTGCAAGTCCCAGCATCTGTCTCAATCTGCTGCTGGGTGGAGCCTCCCAAACGAGCCACATTAGGCTCCTGTCTGTGAGCATAGCAGAGCATAATTCATAGTGTCAGGGGCTGGCTCTACTGTGGATGGCTCTCAGGTTGGGCCAATAATTGGTTGGACATTCCCCCAATCTCTGTTCCCTCTTTACCCCTGCAGTTTTCGTAGGCAGGGTAATTTTTAGATCAGAGGTATTGTGGGTGGGTTGTTGTTCCCCTCCCTCCACTAGTCCTGCCTGGATCGGAGGAGGTCACTTCAGTCTTCATGTCCTCCCCCTCCACCTGAGCCCTGCGTTAGGAGTCTCAGCTAGAGTCACAGCCATATCCTCCCAGGAGCCTACCCACACCTTCTGTTTTTTTTTTTTTTT